CTTGGTATTATCTTTTAGCAGCTGACTAAATCCTTAAGAGCTTTGGTGGCACAGTGGTTAGAATGCAGTACTGCAGGCTAACTCACTGCTCATTCCAGGAGTTTGATTCTGACTGGCTCAAAATTCACTCAGCCTTACATCCTTCTGAGGTCGGCAAAATGAGGACCCAGATTGTTGGGGGCAATGTACTAACTCTGTAAACCACTTAGAGAACAGCACAGTACAGCTCCAGCAACAGCCCAACCTTTTATTAGGGACAGCAACAGGTAAACATTTCTCCTATCATCAAGTAATACGCAATGAGAGGGGAAATAAAGATGGGGAAATTCACCAAATGTTTTTTTCTAATTAGTCCCACATCAAATTTGTAAGGACAGCTAAATAAATAAGGACAACACCAGTCCCTGGTCTCATCATTGAGGGTGAATAGGACACAGCAGTCCAGGAAGAGCAGTTTGCACTATCATATTTCTCTGCCAACTTAGACCGGAAGAATGTGCTTTAATGTGGCTGTGAGAAGGAGCCCTTTAATGTATCTAACTCAGGCAATCAAAATGCTGGGCTAGATATTCTTTTTGTAATCTGGAGAAAGGGGCAAGTTGATTTCCAAAAGATCACTTGTAAGATTCCCTGCCTTCATGTTACTGTTTGAATATTCATCATATATTTTAATACTGTACAGCCTAAATATTCTCAAACTGAGAAGCTATATTTATTCTGTCCCCCCCCATACATGTTAAACTTTTAGCTCTTTAGAGATAAGAGGATTGCATTCAAATTAGGCAGATCAAAAATCAATAGTCTAAAGAGGACAGTAATGCAACAGAAAGGCGTGACCACAGGCTACTGTAATACCTTTGAGTCAGGGGTGAAATGTAAAATTTGTTACTACCGGTTCTGTGGGCGTGGCTTGGTGGAGGGTAATATGACTGGGTGGGCATGACCAACTTTTTTTTTTTAACTTTTCAAAGCATTTTTTCTAATGCTTTGAAAAGCCTCTGCCGATCAGGCAACTCAGCTGGGATCGTCAGAGATTTTTCAAAGCATTTTTTTTACCACCTCTTCGGCCAAGAGGTTCCAGAGAAAAATGCTTTGAAAAACCTCTCTGATGATCAGGCAACTCAGCTGGGATCATCAGAGAGGCTTTTTAAAAAGTCCCTCTCTGATGATCAGGCAACTCAGCTGGGATCGTCAGAGGCTTTTCAAAGCATTTTTTTCTGCTTACCACAATCATCAGAGGCTTTTTTTTTACTTTTAAAAACATTTTTTCGTTGGAAGAGGTTGTAGAAAAAATGCTTTTAAAAGTAAAAAAAAAAAGCCTCTGATGATCGTGCGGCTCAGCACGAGGGGGCACAGGGATTTTTGCTACCGGTTCTCCGAACCACCCGCCGCCATCGCTACCGGATTGGGTGATCCGGTTCAAACCGGGAGCATTTCACCCCTGCTTTGAGTCTATAGCAGTGGTGATATTCAATTTTTTTCCTTACCAGTTCTGTGGGCGTGGCTTGGGGGGGTTCCTGTGACTGAGTGGGCATGGCCAACTCGATGTCACTCACGCCCACTCCCACTCAGTCACATGACCCCCACCACCACCAAGCCACACCTACAGAACCCGGTAGGAAAAAATGTGTGTATGAGCACGACAAGGGCTTATAGTGAATGCTGTGGCAGAGAGAAGCCGAACTTTTCTCACTCCATTCACATTGCTGCTCCCTTTATGATCCCCCCCGGCCCACTCCCTCCCAGGGACTACCTTAAAGGGACGGGCTGCAGCAGCCGGAAGAGGTGACTGCCGACCGGGCAAGTGAGCAAGCGAGCGAGAGCAGGGCCAACCAGGGGTGATTTTTACCAGTTCCGCGAACTGATTCAAATCGTCCCTAACGGTTCATCGATTCGACCTATCCGGTCGAATTTCACCCTTGGTCTAAAGCTAACATTTAACAAAGAAAACAAACAGAAAACAAGACTCAGAGGTTTCATTTATATCAGTATCTGTATTTCAGGTTTCTGAAACTTAGCTAGTTTAGTCACACTATGTATAGTTCACATTTCTGCAGTTATATGCAATGATGTAATTGCGGTAGTTGGAACTCGTTTGCACTGTGAGATTCTATTTTTTTTCTGCAGCTTTTCTACAATAAATCTGCTTTATATAAAGGAACTATGAATATTCTGCTTCCCAGTGCAAGTACCTCAAGTCCTTTGGGCTAATCATGGGCTTCAGAAAACTTATAAACAGCAATTACAACCGACCTCAACCTGTTTCAGTCCACATCTGAACATATTCCAGGTAGTTTCAGGCCAAAAATCAGTACTGGAACTACCTTTTTCATCCTGATGCGTGACCTACTCTATTTTATTTTATTTTATTTTATTTTATTAGATTTTTATACCGCCCTTCTCCTACTGGACTCTAGAGAAAAGATGGAGAGTACAACTCTATTGATCCTTCTGGATAACATTTGAATCCTTCCACCATGATACACTGCTAAATTGGGGCTGGCTGGACTAGGAGGCATGGTTTCCCATCCTCTTTATATAGTCACACTTGACCTGTTGCTGGGCTGTGATATCCTACAGGGGTCCATTAAATCACCCTTATTCTTTAAAATGTATATGGAATGGTTGTGAGATAATTAGAATATTGGAAGAGAAGTTGGGATTGGATATTCTATTCATGTTGTTAGTTGTTAGTCAGGTGAGGCAGGGCAGGTAATGGATCAATATCTGCATGATGTAAAAAGCTGCATGAAGGCCACTAAAATGAAGATGAATCTTAACATGATGGAGACATGGAGTATTGGTGGTTTGGCACACAATAGGAAGAAAGGAAGTCCAAGGGCAATAGCACATCTTTAAGGAACCTACAGAAGATCCTAAGATGAGTTTTATGATGGCATGAATTATTATTTGAATGTAGTCCTTATGGCATCTATTCACAATTTGTTAACAATCACAACTATACTGTCTCTTACCAAACATTAACTGGTTTGAAACAATAGTTTAATATGCATCACTAAGAAATCTCAGCAATTTTACATGTAGAAATTACCACCAGACCATCTTTTTCTAAGCTTAGCCCTGAAAATTATCCAGGGCACTGATCAGCACTGTCAATAAACACAACTATCTTAATGAATACAATTATCTTAATGAGCACAAATATCTTAATTAAAAATTAAGTTTGATGTCTTTGTGAAATAGATTTAATGATTTCTTTTCTAATTTTATCACAGGAGCATTAATGTAAACCTTAAGAATATCCCAAATGGCACAGATCAGAGAAAGATATTTTCTTGCTCCAGTGATCTTCTCTTTTATGGTCCTGTCCTCTGAAGTATTTCACACACACACACACACACACACACACACACACACACACACACACACACACACACAGAGTATATTAACGACAAGTTCGGTGTCTTCTGAAATTAATTTCACCATCAAATTATTAAGAACAAAATAAAATGAAGTAAATTCATTAACGAGAACAAAATGGTAAATTACTATTATATGATTCCTGTGAAGAAGTCTTGAAGGCCATCTACAAACTTCAGGAATTGGTTAAAGATTTGTTTCTTTTTTCTGTAGAAGTAGAGGACTTCTTACTGCCCTTGACAGAAATAAATGTTTTGATACTTTATCACTGATTTCTACTGTCTCATATTTGGTTTTTTTCTGGATACTTTAACAGGTCTAAAGTAAAGGAAGCATATTTTTTATCAAGAGTTGGCTGGAGTTGAGCAGTGCCCTCGTCAAATTAGATAGATAGATAGATAGATAGATAGATAGATAGATAGATAGATAGATAGATAGATGTAGATAGGGGGAGGGAGGGAGAGAGGGGGAGAGGAGGGAGAGGGAGAGAGAGATATGACATTCTTGTTCATACCCCTCCATTTAGGCCACTCTGAATAATGGGAGTTGGTGGCAGCACTGAGGCTAGCCTGAAGTAAAGGGCTGGACCACTGCTGCCACTCAAAAAAGCCACTTTGTACTGTACCACAAGCCACACAAGCCTTGGGTATTGGCATGATTACCCCTGCAGCTCAGGAGTCCCCAGGATCTGCCACTTACCTTCAGGCGGTGCTTTTTTTCTGTTGACAGGCCCTGTGTCCTACCCAAGGCTGCTCTGGGTCACACAAGGCCTTTGCTCTTGAATGGCTTTGGAGAATGTTCTTTTGTGGTCTCTGCAGCCTCAGAAAAACACATATTTTTGTATGATTTTTGGAGGCTGCAGAAGCTGCACAAGACATACCTCATTCTTGCATGGCCTTATAAGCCTTCAAAAATTGTGTGGGAACAGGTGTGCCTGTGGGAATAGTGGTTGTTGGGCGTTGGTAAGCCCTGGTGCGTCAGCCAAAACACTGTGGCATATCACTTTGACACATGTCATAGGTTTGTCATCACTAGGATTGATAAACCATAGACATAGTTTTCTCTCTTAATTTCTCTTGCAGTTTTTTTTTGTTCTTAGTTTCATTTTAAAAGCTGCATTTACTTTGTCACTATAAGACTTTTTTCAGTGAATGCATTTATAATCATAAATTCTGTACCTGTGGTTTAAAAATGATCATAAAATACATGCTTAATAAGCCATTAAGAAAGACATACAGAGCACACATTAATGCTTCTTCTCATATTCCTCTCCTTAGAAAATATGGATGAAAGAAATTAATAATAAGCAATTTTTAAAAGAGCATTATAAAATAGCAACAGCACTTAGACTTATATATGCCCCATAATGCTTTACAACACTCTCTGAGCGATTTACAACGTCAGCATATTGCCCCTAAGAATCTGGGTCCCCATTTTACAGATATCGGAAAGATGGAAGACCAAGTCAACCTTGAGCCCTGTCAGGATTGAACTCCAGGCTGTGGACAGAGTCTGCCTGCAATACTTTAATCACTGTGCCACCAGGGTTGGTTTCTAAATGCAGAGTATTTAGTCAGTAGAAAGCCCTTAATTTTTAACAGACTTCAGATGTACTGTACCTGTTTTGGTCAATGGGCTTGAAAAAAGCTGCTGAAGAAGTTTGTTCTCTGAAGTTCTTAATACCACCATTATGTCAGCAGGAAGGGTGTCTCTGTTCTTCTCAAGGAAGCCATAAGCATCATACTGAACCTATACAATGTGGGAGGTAAATGTAAAGCAGGCTCTTATAAGATTCTGTCACCTGTAGTACTTTAAGTAAAGATGGGGAACTTTTCCCTCTAAGGCTTTGTGTAGTGCTTAGTCATATTTATGTCTACTTATTTTCATATGCATACACTCACAACTATTTTCTGTTACGTAAATAGGTTTGTTTGGCGGGAAGTTTGAATTAACTGACCCTCAGCTGATTGGCTGACCACCACAGCTGCAAGGTATATAAAGGGAGCTGTTTCCCTAGGTCAGTTGCTCGGTTCTCACCCTACAATAAAGAGCTGTTGTCACTCACTGCCTGGCTTGCTGCGTCCTCACTCACCCAAAGGAACATTTTCCCTCATCAGCAATTTCAGTACAACTTGCTATACAAGAAAAGTTAAACTTCTCTGCTCTCCATCTCGTTTTGCTTCTTGTTTTTCTCCTGAATTCTAAGTATTGCAACCACTGCTGATTTTGCAGAAAGCCCTATATCTGTATGACTTACCAGACACAGAGATCCTCCAGTATAGACTGGTTCAAAGTTCTCTGATAACTGAACTTTTCAAAAGTATCCTCAAAAAATACTCTGTTCCTTGTAAACCCTGGCAACCATAAAGTAAGGAACTAAGCAGGAGATGCTTTGACTTCTCTACTGAGAAGATTGTGGTCTTCAGCCTTAAAGAAACAAGGCACTTCATGAAATTGGCAGTGACAGGAACAGTTACAATTCCAGGAAACAGATAAGGTGGGAAAGGACCAGCAACACCATAGACTTCATCTATAGATGTACCGCCATATTTTAAATTAAGAATTAGCATCAATGCCTTGCCAAATGGTTGGGAACACCTGAAGTTCCTTGTACCTTCCAACTCAGTTCTATTGGCCATCACGGGCCATCAAATACCATGGGTTGTAAAACAGTGTTTAAATTTTAAAATGTAAACTCATTAAAAGGATTAAGTAGGGAAGAAAAATCCAAAAGTCGTTGAAGGGATATTTAAGGACATTTATTACATTTTTAATTTAGTGCAAGTTATATAAGTGTTACCTTTCCGGCATAATGATGAATGCCAAAACAGAGCTCCACTCGTTTGGGTCTCAAGAAGTATTTGCATCGCAGGTTATCTTCAAATTTATCTGTGCATTTAAAAAAAAGAAAACAATATTAATGGACCATTCTTTTGATGGCTGCAAGGACAAATCTTTTCACATTGGAAAAGAGATAAGATGCTAATGATATCAGATTGGGAAAACCAAACCTGTAGCATATAAAGCAATGGCAAAAGAACAGGTATACAGTAGGTTCAAAAGAAATTTAACTAAATTCAAGAAAGAATGGCTCCCTCATATACTACTCAGCAAGGCAAATTCAGATATTTGGAGTATGGTTTCAAAGGGGAAAGGAACCAAAATAGATGAAAGGAATAAATTAAATAGAAATCAAAAACAATTCTTAATGTGTGTGTGTGTGTGTGTGTGTGTGTGTGTGTGTTTTCTTATGTGTGTTTCTCTCTTTAGTCAGGTTCCTCTCATGTAAACCAAGATTTTTAATCAGCCCTAGTTCACTGAAATCACAATCCACTAGTTTCTAGGCTTTTTTTTTTTCTTCAGGCAGCCAGCAAGCACTCTGCTGCCCATTGGGAGACTAAGGAGACTGCTGGGCAGCAGAGTGCTTGCTGGCTGCCTAAAGAAAAAAAAAAGCCTAGAAACTAGTGGATTGTGATTTCACTGAACTAGGGCTGCATAAAAATCTTGGTTTACGTAGGAGGAACCTGGCTAAAGAGAGAAACAACACACACACACACAGTATTTACTTTCTGAATAACAAGAATTACATTGTATTTTCTTTCTGAATAATAAGAACTAGAAATATTAAAAATGGCCCATTGTTTGGATTGCAAATCAGTTTCCTCCTGACCATATAATCGGAACTATTTTCCCCTGAATACTAGTTGCAGCCCATATTGCTTATTACGTATTTTCCATGATTTAAAAAAAAATATTATTCATTATTGCCGTTTATGTAAGATACTAATTTAGCTCAGCAACATAGGCAAATTATTTTTTTCTTTTGTATTTTTGTGAAAAGCCCTCTCAGGCTACCTTTCCAGTTGCATGGTACTGTAGCTGTGTGACCAAGTTTATAGAATACAGTGCTGTATTTAAAATAATCCTCTGTTTGAAACATATACTAATCTCATCTTAATCTAAAGGCTGTTTCTCACCACCCGCTAGCCATGGTACAAAGAAGATATTCTAACTGTGTTTGCGGTTTACTGTTTTACAGGCGACTCTAAATTTTACCCTTGTTCTATTTTTAAAGTAGTGTTTTCTATCTTCTCCCAATACAAGACTTGACCTACAGATGATATAATATGTCTCTTTCCTAATTCTGGTAGCAGGGGGTCAGAGGCTTTGGGAACTAAAGATGATAAACCTATCTATCAGAACAGCAGACCTATTTCCAAAGGTAGTCCACTTGACAGATTGGTGGCATAGAGTAGCACCCCCAAAATTTTTGGCCACCAGAGACCAGTTTCATGGAGAGAGGTTTTTCCGCAGACAGGAAAGGGTGTGGTTTCACATGCAGGTTTCAGCCTGCATCCCACAGATGGGGTTTCGCTTGTTTGTGGCATGCCGTGCCATGGCCCATGGACTGGAAGTTGGGGACCCTGGCATAGAGGGTAAGCTGAGATTAAGCTATAAAAGATTTTTCACACTCTGTTCTATACTCTCCTCTATACCACCTGTCTATCAACTGGTTATTTTCGGTCTATTAGTTTTCCAGAAGATATGTTAAAAAGCAGCCAAAGCATCTCTGCATTGGTAACCTATCACCTAGCCCAGGGGTGGGCAATTGTGGCCCTTTTACAATCTGTGGACTTCAACTCCCAAAATTTGTGAGCCAGCTTGGCTGTCTCAGGAATTCTGGGAGTTGAAGTCCATAGGTTGTAAAAGAGGCACATTTGCTCACTCCTGACCTAGCCAACTTGAAAAGCAACTAATGCACCAATCCAGGCATTTGTCCATGATCAACTCACTGCATTTTAAGGAAAGCAATTGTTAGCAGTTTTTGCCACCAGCTGCTCCCACTGAGTGAGAAGGGAAAATAAAGCCAAAAGAATCTACCAATTGCTGCCCTTAAACTGTCATGCATTAAAAATGTAAGAACTAAAGCAAATTAGAACTCAGCTCCAGGAAATCCAAATTATGCTAGCATATTTTTTGCCAATTCAGAGACTAGAATAACACTCATTAATGCAGCTGTGCAGAAGTCCTAAGAAATGGTCTTAACATTTATCATAGACTTCTCAAAATTTAAGATGACTAATCCCAGGACTAATCCCTCTGAAAACACCAATCTTGGAAAGGCTTGCTGACTGGGTATATGGGAATGGCTTTTCCAGAATTGCTCCTAAACCATACAAGAAATTCCTTTGGTAAATGTTCTCATTTCTTTACTTTGAAAGCACGTCGTTTTAATTTAGTTATTTTTTTATTTAATAGTTTTACTTTTCTTTTAATGGTGCTGCTCTTGTTTTAGATTGTAGCAAATGATATATGCATAGTATAAGATCAAGCATTGGACAGTTGTAATGTTGAAACACTGATAATTTAGGATATGCATGGAATTAACTACTCACTTAAGGCAGAAAGAAGGAAGGGAACACAAGTTTGCTTTTTGAGCCCACAAGTAATAAACTAGTCATTTTTTTCAAGCTAATTTGTAAGCCTAATAAAAAACTCATCAAGTGTTCTTACATTTTTTCTAATCTGAAGCACAAATACAATATTTATAATGACTCTTTAAACTTTATTGTATTTCCTGTGTATCAATATATAATAACAAAACCTTCAAAAGATATAGCTTTTTGTGTTTGTTGTAATGTATGTTCCTGTTACTACTATTTCCATAGTACTGATGATAGAAAGAGATTAAAAAATAGAGTACTCTAATAAAGTAGCACTTCTCTAATAGAATACCATTTAATATATTAAAGAAATAAATTTTAAGTAGAAACTTGCAAATCTTTACTTTATTTTCTTAATTGTTATGCCACCATAATTCCATAGTTATCTGAAAACAGTTTGTGGATAGAGGGAAGATTCAAAATAATCAGAAAAACCTCTAATATTTTATGCTTATATCAACTTTACTAAATGTTTATTATGTTTGTTAACTTTTTTTTCTGCAGTTGATTTATCATAATTGTTTCATTTTAGACATTCAACAAAGCATGCAGAGATTAAAGCAAAAGATCTCAGCACAGCCAATAACAGAAAAATGTAATGTGGTATTTTTTTAGTTATTTCCACTGAAACATAAGTTTGTTTAAACAGAAATTTGGAATTCCACTTCCAATATTAGCAGACGTATAGTGTAAATTGTGCAAATTCCCAGTATTTGATCGCTAGCACAAAATGGGCACCAAGCAGTTACTACATCTCAGGTGAAGTGCAGACAGTTGGCCAACAGAGTAAACAAGGAGCCAAAATCCTTGTTCCTGATTGCATTACTGAAGGACAGAGCTAGTTTTGAATCATCCAGTCTCTGCATTCAGAAATTTTTGGAAAACTGTCCATACATCCCTATTTGATAGCTCTAGAAAAATATTAATTTTCTAATATCTTTCTCAATGGGATAAATACCAATTGGCCTAATGAGCAAAGACACATCAATCTAAATATTGGTTACAAAATAATTTTAAGCTGTTTCTTTCAATTATTTTTTACATAGCTAGACAGATAATAGTGCTAAAGAACCACAGTTTATTTCTAATGGGAGTAGGATTTTTTTCCTTGGGTTTTTATGTGACTATCTTTTCCTGCTGGGACTTGCTATGTAGCCAGTTTCACAGAAGCTCTGCTGTAAGGCTCAATTCTCTCTATAGGTAATTTCTTATTCAGGAATTTCTTAATCAGCAGATAACTCTCAGATATGGTTTGGATTCACATATCAGCTGAACTGATATGAATCCACTTGCTTCCATTAGTAATAACTAACAGTTTATTATATGGAGAAGATGTCTATCTATAATTATAAAATTATACTCAACAATTTAATCATTTGACTCCAAGAGTTTAATGCGGTCAGTTTGGATTTAAACTTTATACAAGATACTAATTGTTCTCTCGGTTTTTTCTTCTGTGTATATATGTAACGATTTGGGATTTCTGAACAGTCATACCAACTAATGTTAGGTCTGTTGCTTGGGGAAATCGGCTTTCTTCATCCAGTAGAGAAAGTAGCCCCATTGGTTTCTGAAGGAACATATCTAAGAGTGGTCTGTTGTCTTCATAATCAACCAAGACAGCATCAATTCCTTCATTGTGATATTCCATCTAAAGTATTACAAAAGTTAATAAGTCATAAATATCATTATGGTATTTGGGAATATTGGGAATATTCTATATTCAGCAGTCTGGCTTTTTGTATTCATTTAGTTCCCAGGTGTCAAACTCGTGGCGTCACATTGCCATCATGTGATCTATTGCGATGTTTTCCCCTTTGCGAAGCTGGGGTGGGCGTGGCCTGTGCGTGACGCACCTGGCCCGCAGGCTGCCAGTTTGACACTCCTGATCTAGTTGCAAAGCTGAGAAAAGAATAAGGCAAGCAATTTTCAACACATTGCAACATATTTAAATCACTATTTGGGAAATGCTTTACATTTGCTCCTGGTTTTCACATAACTAAAATGCATATGTTGCTTTCAGTTCTACTGATTTGTGGGGGAAAAGTCTCTTTTCTTCAACACAATAGCACACAACTGCATACAAAAATAATATATTACAAATGCATTGGTTAGTATGATACCATATTTTAATTTTTATATACAATATTGTGTTCGTATATAGAAGTTTCACGTGTGTCCGATAAATTCATATGGTAAAAGCTTTTTCCCTTTCTGAGAAAACATTTATTTTCACAGAAGACAAATGAAGTCATAAACTTCATACCAAAATCATCTTCTTTGGTTCATTGGTCTTACAAGTCCCAAGCCGAGCCTGCAGAATTTGCTATCGAGTCAATCAAAGCTTACCTGCTCAAGTGCAAATATGTGCTGATTGAAATAAAATTGGATCTGCTCATTTGCAATGTTTATGCACAGCTGTTCAAATGAGTTCCTTGTGAAGTTCTCAAATCCAAAAATATCCAATATCCCAACATTCATTCCACTTTCAGCATTGCTGTTTGAAAATGAACCCCAAAAAATTAATATCAAATATGATACTGTAATATGTTGTTCTTACTACTGTGAAGTAAGGTATTAAACAGAATAAGTATTTTCTTCAGGGACAAAACTTAACACTGAAAATATGAATGCCTTAAAGAAAAAAAAAAGTTCATTTCTCCACTAGTGATTTATAGTATCTTCTAGATTATTCAACCATCATTGTGCCAAAATAACAGTAATGTGGGCAGCCTATGATGATGCAATAAATCATTAGTATGGAAATGATCAGATACAAAAATATACACACTCCTAATAAATTATCATTTACAAACATAGGTAAACATTATAATGAATTTTTCCTTCCTAGCAAACTTAACTATGGCTTAACTAATTAATTAACTAGAAATTAATTTAGAAATTAGACATCTTTAAGCTAAATCTACAGAACACCTAATAGACACTAGCAACCTGTGCCCTCTAGATATAGTGGATTACAACTTTATTCCTACACTCTAGAATGTCTTATGTGTGGTTGTGTTAGTTGGAGCTGATGGGAAGTGAAATTTACAAATCTGGAAGGTTGTTTATCCCATGGAGCAGTTCTTAGCAGTGTAGATCATTCTCAAAGACATGTTGGTTCATACCAGCCAAGACGAATTCATCCTTATTAGCTTCCCTTCTGCTGGAATTAATGGGTGGGAAAAATCATTGTGTTAATGCCAAGCTGGCATGGAAAAAGGAACTGATCCAGATACTTTTCAAGGGAACTAAAGGGCACCAGATTCAAAAGTTGCTTCTGACTTGCCCTTGCAGGATAATTAGAGGGTTGATGGACTAATCTGCTCAGTCTTTCATTGGCAAAGCTTCTTTCTCTTAGCTGAGAGGCTTCTCCAACCAGTGATGGGTTTCCCCCCAGTTCGCAGTGGTTCTATAGAACTGGTAGTAAAACCGGCGGGAGGCTCCACCCACTGACCCCAACGTCATCAGAACGCTTCTGCGCATGCGCACGGCCCTGTTGCAAACTGGTAGTAAAGGTAAGTAGAACCCACCCCTGTCTCCAACCCAACCAGGGTTTACTTTTGGTCTCAGAATTACCAAACTTTTGAACAAAGGATATACTGATATTGCTGAATTAGGCATAGTTAAGCACAAAAAGTTAATGATTGGGACTGAATTTAAAAGTTTACTTTATGCTGAAGATAACAAAAAGAAAAAACAGGGGAAGATAAAAGATAATATAATTAAAACATCTTCTAGTATCTTTCCAGGGAGGGACATGATTTTAACCCAAGTGAATCCCATTTACCTACTTAGTTAAATCCCAATCAAGTTTTTGAAAACACTGGAGTTAATGTCCCAGGAACAAAAATGCATGGAAGCCAATTTGAGGCATTATCTAAAACAAACAGTAAACTCTTGATGTAAAATAAAAAGAGATATGCAGGCATCAACAAGTAAATATGTAAGGTATTGACTGTTAACTTGCCATATATTTTTATCAGGTTGCAGCAGGGTATTAATCCGATTTACAATCCAACTGAAGAGTCGGCCATAAAGGGCCTTTGACATGGCATCTCGTACATCAGCTGCTTTGTCCACAGTATTTGTTCGGATAATGGTCTCACCTCTTGTGACAACACAATGTGAAGTGAGAGCTTCCTGAAGTTCTTCTGAGCCAATGCTCAGCAGCACAGCAGCTGAAAGACAAGGATGTTGTAAAATGGGGGACAAAGCAGGGGTGAAATCCAGCAGGTTCTGACAGGTTCTGGAGAACTGATAGCGGAAATTTTGAGCAATTCAGAGAACTGGTAGCGGAAATTTTGAGTAGTCGGAGAACCGGCAAATATCTCCTCTGGCTGGCCCCAGAGTGGGGTAGGAATGGAGATTTTGCAATATCCTTCCCTCAGGAGTGGGGAGGTTATGGGGATTTTTCAGTATCGGTTCTGTCCCCGTACCACACATGCACCCCCACAGACGGCCCGGAGTTAATAAGCCACACGACAAAACTCTTTGAAGATAAAGCTGGCAGCAACCCAGTGGCTAGCTGCCAATTCAGACTTTACTCACACAAAACAAAGATTAGACTGCAAGCATTCCGATAAAACAGGCAGAGTTTCAACAATACAAGGATTAATCCAAATGCAGTCCAATAAAGCAGGCAAAGTCCAGTAACGCAGAGATCATGGATTATTTCCAGTTTTTGCTCATCACAAACTGAACCGGCCACCACACCCACATTTATACCCTGTGGGGTGTGGTCCAGTGACTCAGCTAATCTCTGGCATGCCTTCCCCTCTGCTGCGCACGCTTCTCCCTGCGCCTCTGCCGAGGGTCCAGCCAGCACTTATCTTCTTCGTCGCTGTCCACCTGTGGCTGCGGGGACGTGCTTGGCTCTTAGCCTATCTTTTGGCCTTCGGTGTCCTCTGGAGGCATTGCCAGAGAGGAGGGTCCTGGAGAGGGAGGCCTTGCCAACTCCTCTCCCTCACTCTCAGAGTCTGCATCTGTCGATAGCTCAGGCTCAGGCAACGGAGCCACAACAGTATCCTTCCCCTGGAATGGGGTGGGAATGGAGATTTTGCAGTATTCTTCCCCTGGCACGCCCACCAAGCCACACCACACCACGCCCACCAAGCCACACCCACAGAACCGGTAGTAAAAAAAAATGGATTTTATCACTGGGGCAAAGTGCTAGCCACTGGGTATGAAATTAGATTTCCTGATCATATTCTGCATTAGGACAATTCAGAGATGTTAGCAAAATATTTACCATTATCTAAGGCTTCCATATTGGGCACTTCGCTTTTATCAGTTTGGTGTTGTGAAGAAATGGCAGCAAATTCGATATTTCCTGTATTTAAGATCCCAGCCAAAATGCGATACACTGAATGCACTTCCTGAAAATGGTAGGAAAGTCAGAACTATAAACTTTAACAGGTTACCACCACAGCACAACCTGAGGACAGATTGTTTGAATATAATTCCATAATCCAAATGCATCAAGCCATACTATCCTTCTCAGATTATAATGTACATTCAATACCTTACCATTTTTGGTCCCTGCAAAAGCTGGAAGGTGCTAACGTAATGCAGTCACACTTCCTGGTCTTAGAGGATTCATATCTTTTTTTTTTTACTTCAATGTGTACTTCTATTTTATTTCTAATCCTATGTTAGATTGACAGCCTCTTAACAGACAGTTTTGATTGACCGATTGATCGATTGATCGATTCATTCATTCATTCATTCAGAGCAGTGATATAATGTTTATTTTAACTCTTTATATATCAGTTTTATGTACTGGTTTCATTCTTCATATACCACTTTTTATGTTCATAAAAGAAATTAGCCTAACTGTGAGACGCCTTGCAGCAAAATGGACAACAAACTAAGTTAATCAATAAAGAAATAATAAATAAAACAAATGGGCTAACATGGTGCCAAGCAGATCCTAGAAATATCCTACTGCAATGTGAGCATCAAAGGTAGAGTTCAACAAGATTCTGGTGCATCAGAGAAGAAGCCCAGATGGGATCCTGTATATTTGGGGAAAAACTGGTAGGATCATGAACTGATGAGTTTCTCAAACTGTATTCCTAAATACAGTTGCCCAATAAAATGCCTAATTTTCAGTTAAATTATTAAGAAAACTTAACTTTTATTAATGTTTGTTTTATTATTGCTATTGGCTTCAGAATTAATTATGTGATTCTGGGGCAATTTACATTTTGTTATTGGTTCTTCTTCCTCTAGTCTAGCATTGATTCAAGTTTAGTAATTCTAACCCTAGTAATTCTAACCCTAGTGAATCACTCCACTACTGTTACTATAGTTCTACTCTCACAAAAAGTATTCTACAGGCCATACACAGAATTATCCAAACCTGATCTGGCAGCCACCTACTGATTCAGTTGCTCACTGAAAAATATATTTTTTTTAAAGCAAGGCCAATGTTATTCTGTCAACTATATTAAAAAAGTCATCACTTACCTCTTTAGTAAATCCTATGATCCGAAAGCAATGCTGGATTGCTTCAAACTGAGTTTTATAGGATTCTTTATTAATAATATCATGCATCACCTTTCCTGTGCCATTTTCAATATACCTGTGTAAAATACATAACTGAGTCTCATTTGATGTTGCAGCTCTTTTCATGTCCATAGGTCTGGAATTAGCCAAAGAATCTATGACCATATTGCTCCACAGTTCCCCTGACATAATTAATACACAAAGATTGAAACACCCAAGATTATGGATCTCCTAAACCTCTGCCTAACCACATACTTCCAATTTGATGGACAAACTTACCAACAAATTAAAGGTACACCTATGGGATTACCACTTTCAGGACTTATAGCAGAGGTCATTGTGTAAGATCTAGAAGTTATATAGAGCTTCCACAATTACAACCCAAAATATGAATCAGATATGTAGATGACACCTTCACCATAATAAAAAAGGACCAATTAGGGAACACCACAGAACTGTCAACAACATCTTCAAAGGAATCCAGTTTAGCAGAGAAGATGAAAACAACAACTCACTACCCTTTCTGGATACCCTAATCAGCAGATACCACAATTGCAAACAAGAAATATAAGTGCACAGAAAAACCACTCACCCCAACCAAGTGCTCCACTACCAAACCAACAACCCAACCTCCCACAAGAGAAGCTGGGTAAGAACTATATTTAGGCGAGCACAAACTCGCTGCAGCAACCCTGAACAGCAGAAAAAAGAGCCTCTATACAACATCTTCCAACAAAATGGATATCCATGCAACTTTATCAAAAAAATGCCTGACCGCTCAACCCAACACAGCACAAACAACACAAGCCCTAGAAAGAATAACACTGCCATACATCAAGAACATCTCAGAAACCACCAATGGACTACTACCACCACATGGAATTAGCGTAGCACACAACTCAACTAAAGCTTTTCAAAACATCCTAAGTATACCAAAAGTGTATATGGACGGAGTGAGCTCCTGTCACTGAGCTCCCATCACTCCATTCCTAACTCCTGCCCACCCAGCAGTACGAAAGCAGGCAATATTGCAAGTAGATAAATGGGGACCACTTCAGTGGGAAAAAAATACCTAGCTGGATTCATGTGTGCAGACAGTGGAAGCCAGCACTGGACCTGGCCATACGTGAGACATCGCAACACTAGGCAAGGCGAGACCAGCGGAGGAGCCTGGAAGAGCCACCAACCTGAGCACCACTAACTAATTAATAGCAATAGCAATAGCCCTTAGACTTATATACCGCTTCATAGTGCTTTACAGCCTTCTTTAAGCAGTTTACAGAGTTAGCATATTGCCCCCAACAATCTGGGTCCTCATTTTACCCACCTTGGAAGGATGGAAGTCTGAGTCAAACTTGAGCCGGTGAGATTCAATCTGCTGAACTGCAGCTAGCAGTCAGCTGAAGCAGCCTGCAGTACTGCACTTTAACCACTGCGCCACCTCAGCTCTTAATGTAAAGATAGTTTGCCCTCCCTCCTCCCAACAGTGCATTAAGAATAGACGTGCAAGCACCAAACAGAATGAACTAGAAATCTAGGCTGTCAGGACAGCATTGTGTCTGACATGTGTAGATTTCCCTGACATTGTATGCCATAAGCTAAATAAATAAACAAGCCAAAAGGGAACAAAAATACCAAAACACCTCCCCACCAGCAATCACCAACCAGATGAGCATCGATTAACTCCAAGATTAACATCAGACCAACAATCAAGTAAACAAGACCCCAATCAAGGAACTGCCAAACAAGCCAACAATAAACAACCCAACCAAAGAACCCCTAGTACCACCCCCAACAATACTGACAGGGCAAGCCACTACTAGAATATAAACTGAGAACAAACCCCACTCTTTATTAACACTGATGATGTTACCTAGTTTGGGTAATGAAACATCTACAAGAAAACAACCAAGCTCAGAGAGCACTAAGGACCCCTCACAATGTATAGTTTCTGGAAAGTAAAGTAATAAGACTGCTTATTAAGTCAAATCCATGGCTCAAATCCCTTTTGATAAACCTATACATAATTTTGAAACTGAGCCAAAAGGTCAGATTAAACCCTTGTTAAAGAATTATTTCAACTAAATCAGTGAGCATATATTATGCTAACATATACTGTACAGTACCTATCAATTCAATTCAGATTGCAGCATCCTAATAAATATCTAGCTATTTCCTAGATATTGTCATTTTCTTGTATAATCGACAAATGTAATCTTTAGGATAATTACCTACTCTCAGCTCAACCTACCTGACTGGGTTATTGTTGGGAGAAAATGGGAAGAGAGACTATTATATATGCTGCCTTAAGCTTCTAAATGAAAGGTAGAAGTCTAATGAGCAAACCAATATTAGAAGAACAAGCCCTTGCAAGGAATTGAAAATATATTATTTTGCAGACTGTACAGAGACACTTTTAACCTCTCATTCTTACCTCCTTTTCCCATTACTAACCATCATGACCAGCATATTATAGGCTGTCGTTTTAATTGGTGCTATTATTTTCAAAACGAGGACTCAAAAAAATACAGTTAGGTAAATTTTGGGTCAGTCTCAAAGTTGGGAGAGAGCAAGGCAAGCTCCACAAGAGATCAGAAACTATAATACCCGAAGGCAAAATTTGGCCTAATATTGCTAATTACCCAAATAGTAATGTACCAATTTAAAACAATTCATTTGGCTTTGTTTGTCTAGAATGCTAATACATACCATTAACTTTATAATCATCCATTTTGGAAAACAGATTCAATTTGAGAGTGTGGCAAAACTATAATTAGATGAACTTTTTTTTTATTAATTTAATTAAGCCATATATAAATAATAGCATTTCTTCTTGCCTATACAGTTGTATACATGAGAGGATTACAGTGGATCTTTAGGACAAGGGGAACAATTAAGGCAGACTTTAAAACTTCTCACCAAAACAAACAGCTATTTAATACTTAGTTATAACTAGCAAGTCAGCAAAAATTACCTGGGAGGCTTTTTCTCAGGGAGTTTATATTCAGAAAGTTTCTTCTGATGATAAAGACCAGCATAAATGTAGTAAAATATATGGAAGTTTTTCTCTCCTCTGTTAGAAAAAAAGAATTACTATACTGTAGAGCATAAATATAAAATGTTATCTTTAACCTGAGCGATTCAACTAGTATATAAAACAGTCTCAGGAAGCAATAGTTCCCCCAAACCACATATGTTTATACCTAAAGAAATCCAGATGTCCAGATTGCAAAATCCATCAGTCTCAGGTCTCTGCTCTATAATTGAGGTGATGGAGTTCTATTCTCCATCTAGAATAAATGAAGGCCACCAGGAGGGGAAAAAAAGATTCTGAAATGTTATTAAGAAACCAAGTCTAAAACCAAGTTTTGCCTTTCTCTCAGTCAATTGCCATTCTTATGAGCTGTGGTGGGACAGCCTTAAATTTTTTAACCCTAATTTTTTTTAACATTAAAATTGGATCCTGAGTTTTCTTGTTTTCCATCATTCTTGACTAATGGCCATACTGCCTGAATGAAGGGTTATGAAAATCAATATACTGGATTGATAAAGGCTGGTGTATCTAATTCTGAATCCTCCAGGGAAATGCTAAAGCAGTGGCCCCCAGCCAGAGGTGGGTTGCAGCAGGTTCTGACCGGTTCTGGAGAACCAGTAGCGGAAATTTTGAGTAGTTTGGAGAACTGGTAAATACCACCTCTGACTGGTCCCACCCCCATCTATTCTCTGCCTCCTAAATCCCAGCTGATCAGGAGGAAATGGGGATTTTGCAGTAACCTTCCCCTGGATTGGGGAGGGAATGGAGATTTTACAGTATCCTTCCCCTGCCACACCCACCAAGCCACGCCCACCAAGCCATGCCATGCCCACCAAGCCACACCCACAGAACCGGTAGTAAAATTTTTTGAAACCCACCACTGCCCCAACCTTTTGGGCTCCAGGGACTGGTTTCCTGGAGAGAGGTTTTTCAGTGGACTGGAGAGGGGGCGTGGTTTCATGTGCTGCCTGCATCCTGCGGATGGGGGTTGGCTTGTTTGTGTGGCCTGGTTTCTAGCATGTTGTGGACCAGTGCCGGTCCATGGAAACCCACGGGGGTTGGGGATCCCTCCACTAAAGTACTTTGAACCCTGGATTGAAAGGACAGAGAGCAAGGACAGAGTTTCTGAGAGCTCACTAGGTTTCTGCAGATGTTAGGTTAGACTTGAGGACTTACAGAACCCAAGAATCACATCCCAGTGCACAAAAGTGTTTAAGATCAGCAACAACAAAACCCAATCATTTACAGCAGTGGTTCTCAACCTTTTCTTCACCACGAACCCCTTTTACATACCTTTTGTGGCCATGGACCATGGCCACGGACCCCCAAGACTTAATTCACGATTTAAATCATAACATTTCTTCAAGCCTTTGCAGACCCCCTGTGACAACATCACACACCCCTCCAGCGGTCTGTGGACCACAAGTTGAGAACCACTGATTTACTTAACTTAAGCTTAACTTACATTCAGGTTTATCTTCAAATTATATAGTCTTTCACTATTCAGCTTAATTGTTTTCACACAGCAGGAAAGATGGGAACCAGACAAATAAATAATTTTCAGGTTATTTGCCTTAATCTGATGGGGTAACTTGCTAAGAGGAACTGAACAGTTACGATTAGCATTTCTTTCATTATATCTTTCGTAGTTGGGCCTTACTACCAGATATCTCTGAGCTTTGTCCTTTCCATGGAGGCCATCCTGGTGCCAAAAAAATCTATCTTTCAGTACCAAATAAAAACTTGGCCTCCTATTCTCAAAACTGAAATTTAGCATTCAATACCCGACCATGCCTTTTGTCCATTAAGCACATTTCTGAGGTGTTTCCATTATTATGATGTGTGTATTAAATCAAATTATTTATTTTAGGTCTTACTTTTCCCTGTTTATTTGATAAGAATATAACTCACCATGAGATTCTTTTAGAGCACATAGAGTACAAATATGTTCAACCAAAATTAAATTAAATACTTTCAATAAAAGAATATTTATTTTGCAACCATCCATTTTCTGTATGAATGCAAAAAAGATTATTGACAACTGAATGTATATAGCTCTATAGTTTTACTCCATATACCAAATTAGGACTGTTCGAATCATTTGGAAGGGTGCTTCATAAAGTGAAGGCATCATATATTGGAATCTGCTGATCCAGGGATCAAGATGACTACATCCTTTAGACAACTCCTTCAAAGCCCTTCCCAGTTGCTTTGGCATACGTGTAGCTGCACAGAAGTCATCTCTAGACCTCGATTGGCACCTCAGCACTTCAAGCAGGAGTTTCAAGGTGCATTATGGTTCCTTTGCAAATTGCCTCTCCAAATAATTTGCACAGGACAGGTATTAATGCACCAAAGCCAAAATCATACTTAAAAGTCTCCAATCCTTTCCAGTTGAAGGTAACATATTTATACAAATTTATAACAAGAGCAATATTTTAAACAGAACAACCCAAATTATACCTACAAGGCTTGCTTTATAACTCTGGATTTTTCTAGCAGGTATTCTGAGATCTTTGCTCCCATTACAGCTCCAGTTGGTGTGAACATCATTTCCAAGTATTTCCCGAAACGGCTAGAATTGTCATTGATAGCAGTGTGGGCATTCCCAAATGCTTCGACTAAAGGGTTCACTTGGAGGATCTTCTCCCGCAAAGCACGGTTGTTTGCCTTGATAAACAGAACAGATCACAAGAAGTTTCCTCTATCAATTATGTGGCCCTCATATCCCGTTTAAAACTTTCCTATTCTCACCCTGCACTGAAAGTGAATACGTCAGCAAGAAGCAGTTGAAAAGGAGACACAATCAGGAACAAGATAATAAGAAACAAGAACACAAAAAACCCCCAGCATTAAATATCTATCTATTAATATTTTGTGCAAATTTGTCTGAAGAGAACCTTTCCTAATTTCTCTGGGATATAATCCAGTGAAAATACAAATTTAAAAAGTTGTTTTATTATACATAAAACCTATTAAATAAGTAAATACCCTGCCCTATTTTCAATTTTTCTTCTAAAACTCTCTGTATATTAGAGGTAGTCCTTGAGTTACAACCATTCATTTAACGATTGTTCAAAGTTATAACTGCACTGAAAAGGTTGACTTATAACCATTCCTTGCACTTACAACTGTAGTAGCACCCCCCACAATTATGATCAAAATTCAGACATTTGACAACTGGCACATATTTATGATGATGGTTGCAGCATCCCAGGGTCATGTGATTGCCATTTGAAAACTTCCCAACCATGGCTGTGGATGCCGGCATCCCGGGATCTGGAGGTTCCATCCTTAATGATCGGAGGTGAAACCCTTGCTCCCTCCGATAGGGTCCGCAACTTGGGTGTCCTCCTGGATTCTCGGCTGTCCTTAGATGACCATCTGACGACCATAACCAGGGGGGCCTTCGCACAGGTCCATCTTGTGCGCTAGTTGCGCCCGTTCCTAGACCGGGATGCCCTTGCCATGGTCACTCACGCCCTTGTTACCTCTAGGTTGGACTACTGTAACACCCTCTACATGGGGCTGCCCTTGGGATGTGTCCGGAGGCTTCAGCTAGTCCAAAATGCAGCCGCGCGGGTAGTTACGGGGGCGTCTAGATACTCCCATGTAACACCTTTCCTGCATGAGCTGCACTGGCTACCGCTGGCACTCCGGATACGTTTCAAGGTGCTGGTGCTCACCTATAAAGCCCTTCATGGCTTAGGCCCGGGGTACTTGCAGGACCATCTCCAGCCATTCTCCCATCGTCCTGTGCGCTCTCACAGAGTCAGCCTCCTCAGGGTGCCGTCAGCCAAACAATGTCAGCTGACGACCCCCAGGGGGAGGGCGTTCTCTGTGGGAGCCTCGACCCTCTGGAATGGATTGCCCACTGAGCTCAGGACAGCCCCCGACCTTCTTTCCTTCCGTCACGAGCTGAAGACGTGGCTCTTCCGCCAATTAAACTGATCCGTTTGGGGGTACACTGGTATAATTTTAAATTGTTTTTTAATTGGGTTACTGATTTTAATTTTGTATTGTATTGTGATTTGTATTGAAGTTGTCATTTTGTAAGCCGCCTTGAGTCCCTAGGGAGAAAGGCGGCATATAAATCGCAATAAATAAATAAATAAATAAATAAATAAATAAATAAATAAATAAATAAAGTGACCAACTTTTTTACAATGAGAAGGAGGACAAGGCATGCATTAGACTCAAAGAAGTGAGTCTAATGCATGCATGTGTGCCATGTCATGTTTTGGTAAGCCACTTGCGGGCGGCACTCTCTTGCGCATGGCGCACTCTCTCAAAACAATTCTCCTGTGCGGAGCGCATGTGTCTCATAATTGCGTCTCGCTGCACTGTACCGAGCCTTGATGAATCGTCATGTGAAATACAAATATGTCACATCACACACAACGGATCGACTCAGCATCGATCGAATACTGAGATTTACAGATTAGTCTTCAAATATCGAAAAGGAGGACTCGAGAGAGGACAGAACTTACAAAAGAAGGACTGTCCTCCCTAAAGGAGGACGATTGGTCACCTTACCAACCAGCTTCTGATCAGCAAAGTCAATGGGGATGCCAGAATCACGTGACGTCTGCCTGATTCACTTAACAACCGCAGTGACTTGCTTAACAATCATGCAAAAAGGTTTGTAAAATCAGGTGTGATTCACACTTAACCACTGCCTAGCTTAGCCACAGAAATTCTCATCCCAGTTGTGATCGTAATCTGAGGACTATCAGTATTAAGCATTAACACAGGATCTGAGACTGAAGTTAACAAAAAATAGAAGCAGAAGCTTGCCATCACCTTGTCACAAGATACATTTGAAATGGGAAGGGAAGAAAAAGCATGAAACACAAACACCAATCCAAAGATTTGTACATGCTCATCCTTGCCAAATTAGCAAGTGGGCAACCTGTGGCCTCCAGGTAATTCTATATTAACAAATCTCAGACTGCCCCTCTTGCCTGTGGTGAGAGAGAATTGAAACCTGGTATAATCAGTTGAGACAGAGATTGCTCAACCCTGCACTAAATCTCAGTTTAAGGTTGCATGCAAATGCAGCCAGTACTTCACAGTATTATAATTTGAGTTATGTGACAGTCAGTAAATACCTTTCCCAGGAAGGTCAAATGCTGCACAATGAGATGGGCACTTTCGGTCTTCCCAGCACCGCTTTCCCCACTGATGATTATGCACTGATGGTACAAAACAGAAGAGAAGATGCATAATTGGTAACTCAAGGAATATACCTTCACCCCTATTTTCATGTGCTTTAATATACCATTAAACATTTAACTATCTTAAATTATACTTTCTTTGAAGAGTTGAACAATCATGCAGAGTATAAAACGAACATTCAAAGTTGCCCAGTTGAAAGTATTAAATGCAGTACATATGTGAATGAATATGTTTGAATTGGATCTAGCCTGCTGATAATGGAGAATACAGAAAGAATTTTTATTTCTGCCAAATTCTTTCAGTGAGAAAGGATTTCTGTCCCTTCTATAAATATACCCGCAGGATATCTATATATATAAAAGCCAAATAGCACTCACTCATCATAAAATCTCCAGAACGGTAAAGCCTACAAACTTGAAATATGGCATGTATGTTCCTCTTGGCTTCTGGGTGCTCGCTAAGAAAGGACTTTTCGAAATGACCATCAGATCATTAATATTTCATATACAGTATTATATTCACACACTCTGATGCTAATGAGTTAGATGTTTTACTCCCCCTCCTCTGAAAAGAACTCTGTCCCAACTGCCTGTTGCCTTATATTAACATGCTCTGATGCTACCCCTTTGCTAAACAGGGCGTGGGCGTGACCAGCGCGTGACTCATCAGGCCTGCAGGCTGGGATATTCTACTCTCCCTCCCCCTCTGTTCCAACTGCCAGTTGCCTTATATTAACACCCTCTGATGCTACGGATTTACATATTCTACATTAAGTTTCACGCTGTGTCAATTTATCACGCCCGATCACATAGTTTCGTAGCGAAGCACAAGCGTTCAGCTAGTATTTATATATGAGTGACATTAGACTCTGATTAAATAATGAATGTACAGTAAGTGACAAACAAGAAAATCAACTATTTTGCCAATAAAATTTAGCGGGTTGTTTTGTTTTGTTTTGTTTTGTTTTGTTTTGTTTTGTTTTGTTTTGTTTTGTCCATTGAAGCATTCAGTGTCTGGATCTGGCTGCTCTTGATGAAGAAATGGCATGCAGAATTGGGGAAGTGAATCAAACAACCTTAATAATCTGGGATTGTTTCAAACAATGCAACTGGGTGATAATTTCATAACAGTCACTATGGAACTGACAATATTAGGACAGTTTTCGTTTACATGGGCTACTCCCTAGAATTACATAGGTTTTCCTCTGTGCTGACCAGTTTGTACCCACACTCCAGTCAGCCAGGTTGTAGGAAAAATGCAAGGGCCAAATTGGACCTCATATCATATAAATGGCCACCACTGTGAAAATAGTAGCCATTCTCTTGGCTGGGCTCTCTCCATGTGACATATCAAATTTGGAACAAGGTGACATTTAACCCTTTCAAGTTAAGACACTAGTACGGAGCAATGATTTAAAAACATGAAGAACATAGCATCACAACATTCAATAACTTACACTGCTCTTTAATATTGAAATATATTAACTTTTTTTGTTTTAATATATTTTACAGCTATTTACTTTTTTTTTAACTTAATGACCCACTGAAAAACTGATGAAGAGTGAAACATATATCAGTCGACAAGTTCTACCAGGTATTATGGCGGAGGCAGGAAGCCAAATGGATGATTAATGTTTTTGGCAGCAGCTGCCTATTTAGTTTAACTCTACCTTGGTTCTTGAAGCATCCCAGAAGAACAGCTATTCAGACTACTTATTGGTTGTTCTACTTTTAAAGGTAAAAAAAAGGAGAGTAAAAGTTCCTTTTAATAGTCACCAAATGTAATATATCTGAAGATTCCTGCACATCACTTCCTTTTCTCTTTATTCCAAATGGTAATATGCCTGTATTTATTTTCTAGAGCAGGAGTGTCCAACCTTAAGACTTCTGGACTTCAACTCTCCCAAATTAAAAAGAGAATGTAAATATTCCCTTTTTCACTTTAACGCAAAATATTCAGTGGCAATGGTGTTCAAAACACAGATCTCTCATTTCATAATACTGCAAACATATGTGAAAAGAATGTCCCATAGAAAAATTACAGACAATATACAGAGTATTGTTTGTAATTTTTCTATGGGATATTCTTATACAAAGATTTTGGTTTATGATGACAGAACTAATACTACTATAGAAACAACTCTGATGTAAAGAACTAACAAGTTGCACATAGAAACAAATGTAAATATCGGAGAGAATAAAAGACAAAGGGCATCTCATGTAAACAAATTAAAGCTCAAACTTTAATTCAAGTATTAGGTTAACTTTCCCTAGTGTTCTAGAGAATAGACTAGCTTTGGAACAAATACCACGGTATACATTTATTAGTTGGAAATACTTTATCCTGTAAAATCTAGTTTATATCCAAGTTTGGAGGAAATTCTTAGTTCTTTCTTTCTAAAATAATATTGCTGCTGCCTTTCTCCCCCTCCTCCATCCTCCTTCAACACCCAATTACTTTAGCCCTGTCACTATCCTGGCTTCTCATCTTGAGGCACGTTCCACTTTTGTCAATGTCCTTCTAAAATAGAGTGCTGAGAACTGGACATATTTCTCCAGATAAGGTCTGGCTAGTATAGAGATTATATTCCATGACCCAGAAGTTATCCTCCTTCTGTTAATGCAGCCTCAGACTGCATTAGCTTTTCAGTCTTCATCATGCCACTGACTCATCTTCAGCTTGTGATTACTAAGGTTATCTAGATTGTTCTCACACATATCACTATCACAAGATATCTCTCCCATCTACAATAAGTGCCTTAGATTTTTTTTTTTTAATGTAAGACCTGCATTCTATAGTGTCATCTGTAAAATTCTTAGAAGCCCTCTTTCAGACTCATCCATTCAATTTATAAAAGTACTGAACCATCTCTATGGTTTAGGACAGATACTGGTCCTCCCAGGATCTAGCTCCATATTGATGCAAAGATGTGAATGAGAATAGGTATTGTGATGGAATGTAGAAGGCTGGATTCGCTGGAGGGAGGGGGTGCGTTCCAGAAGAATAAGAGGCAGCTCAGTCCAGAGACTTTGTGTGAGAGAAAAAGGGTGAAGACGGCCCTCCCTGATAGTTCTTAAAGAGCTGTGATGGCCAACCTGTGGCACGTATGCTGGAAGTGGCACACAGAGCCATTTCACCAGGTACATGAGCTGTCACCCATTGCTCTTCTGGGTTCCAGTGCACCGGCCAGCGGGAGCACTGGAAACTGGAAGAGCAACCACCCGGTGAGCATACGCGTGCCGGGAAGATGATTTTCCGGTTTTTGTTGTGTGTATGTGCACCGGCCAGCTGGTCTTCACACGTGCATGTGCTCCAGGAACCGGAACACGAGGTAGCCGGTGCGCATGCGTGCACCGGAAACCGGAAGATCATCTTCCCAGCACGCGCCTGCGTACCGGGCGGCTGCTCTTCCAGTTTCCAGCATGCATGCGCATGCTCTTGTTTCGGCACTTGGTGCTGAAAAGGTTCACCAATACTGTTATAGAGTATATATTTGATGTAGATAGATTGCTTCAGTTTGGCAAGATTCAATCTATAGGTATAGAACAATAAAGGACTCTGTTTAGAAGACTCATTATGTGTCTTTCTTGGTTTGGGGGCCTGACAGGTGTGGTTGCTCAAATAGCGGTTCAACCATATAACACCAGACCCAACTCACATTCAGTCAACTTTCAACAAATATATTAGAAGAAATCTTGGCTTCAGGGTTTTTGAAACCAGGCTATATCACATCTGCATTTTTTATGATGTTTGGATGTACACTGCTAGTACGTGCAAATCCTTTGCATGCAGAGAGCTCTGGGAGATAATTACAAAACAGCCACACAGATCTTAAAAACAGATGCAGCTTTTTTATTGATTCTATCAGAGATGTAATACAGGAAAATGAGATTAAACCAATACACTGGAAAAACTCTTAATCAAAGAGAATCTCAGATGCCATTTGAAAATATACTGTTATTTACTTTGTGTCTTATGGATAATTATTATCCATACAGCAAAAATTGTAATCTCTTGAGTACACCCAAGCATGTGTCTCAATCTGCATATGTGGTCATATAAAATATATTCATGAAAGAAATGAACAGGGGATATGAGAAAAATAGTTGGGAAAAAAATTTAAAGCAATAGCACACTTTTATCAATTATCTCCTAATCACCTGCTTGCAACTTCCATTGTGGCCATATCACAATTATATTGAAACTAACTTATGCATGCAAATAGTATGTGTTCAAAAGAGCTCCAAATTAAACAGCTTATAGCAGGGGTGGGCAATTGTGGCCCTTTTACAACCTGTGGATTTCAACTTCCAGAATTCCTGAGATAGCCAAGCTGTCTCAGGAATTCTGGGAGTTGAAGTCCACAGGTTGTAAAAGGGCCACAATTGCCCACCCCTGGCTTATAGGATGCACATATTTAGCACAGATATCTGCAGGGTTGGGGAAAGGATGAAAACAGCCTTGTGGCATAGCAAGACAAGCTTCACTCCTTTGAACATCATGGCGCTTGCTTCAGGAAGGGACAACACTGCTTTCATTATTTTGACAAAAATATCAGCTCTTTCAGATGCTTCTGATTCTCAGTTCATAGGCCTCAGTTAATGACTATAATTAGGACCAGGAACTTTGTCATTAAGCGACATGGTCATGAAGCAAAAAAAAAAAAAATCACATGACTTATGTGCTAACTTACAACAGCAGTTCTGGAAATTCTGGTTGTGGTTGGTAAACAAATCATGCACAGTTATTAAGCATGCTGTCACATGACCACAACTTGAGACTTCATCCTGGCTTCCCCCATTGACTTTGCTTGTCGGAAGTCTACTGTGTTTCCCCGAAAATAAGACCCTGTCTTATATTTTTTTGAACCCCAAAATAAGCGCTTGGCCTTATTTTTGGGGAGGTCTTATTATTTTGGGGTGCGTGGAACAAGATGGGGCTCCTCTTGCCGTCTTACCTGATTTCCAGCTCTGCGTTAAATATTTTTGGGGAGGGCTTATTTTCAGGGGGAGGGCTTATTTTAGTGCATGCGCCCAAAAGCCCGATTGGGCATATTATCAGGGGATGTCTTATTTTCGGGGAAACAGCGTACAAATGGCAATCTTGGGACTGTGGGATGCTATGACTGTTATAAATGTGCACTGGTTGCAAGGCATCCAAATTGCAATCATAACTCATACGGATTCTGAGACAAGCACAACTCAAGGACTGGCCAGAAGTCTCCTTATTCAGCACTGTCATAACTTTGAACAGTTGCTGAATAAATGGTCGCTAAGTGAGGGCTGCCTGTATTTTTATATTTGTGGATGGTTTTGATACAGATTTAATTGTAACGGGCCCAATTAATCACTGAAATGTAAACTAATCATGACTATAATTGCCTTTGATTTCAGTGGCTCAATTCTAGATAGGATTAACATTAAAACCAATCTATTATGTTTTTACATATACTTAAGAATCCCACACAGTAATTTCTATTACCAGCTATGTTTAAAACACAGTTATGACCTTCATGATTCAAAAACTCATTAAATTCTATGCAGCACATTTGACAAAGTTTAATCAATCCCAAGTTTTTTTAAAAAATGCAGTATTTTCTTATGTCATGCATATAATTGTAAGTATTTTTAAAAACAACTGTTTTCCTACCTGGTCTTTATTAAAAGTAATCATGCTTTGGTAAGCAGCATCTGCAGTTGCAAATATGTGGGGTGGGTTGGAGGAACGCTTCACACCATGATAAAGCTTGGAAAACTAAATACGAAATCACACTTATCAAAACATTGCATGCGAACCAGGCAACTAGAAAATACATATCAAAACCCAAAGAGGCAGAACTACCAACTCCTGCATATGATTTCTCTCTGTCCATAGTAAGCTGTCTTAGATCAAATTATTTGCCAATGCAGATAAATGTCTACTCCAAATGGCAATGCCTTTGCAAAAAAACCCAGAAAGGTTTCTATTTCATCCTTTAACCAGGAGATATCAAAGACTGAACCCACATCCTTCTTGTGCCTTTATATTTCCCCCCAACATCCCTTCTATATAATGTTTTTTTTTTAAAAAAAAGTAATGAATGGTTAAGTGAAAGCAATAGGGATGTGGTGGCTCAGTGGCTAAGATGCTGAGCTTGTTGATCGAAAGGTCGGCAGTTCAGCGGTTCGAATCCTAGTGCCGCATAACGGGGTGAGCTCCCGTTACTTGTCCCAGCTTCTGCCAACCTAGCAGTTCGAAAGCACGTAAAAAATGCAAGTAGAAAAATAGGGACCACCTTTGGTGGGAAGGTAACAGTGTTCCTTGCGCCTTTGGCGTTTAGTCATGACCACGGAGATGTCTTTGTACAGCGCTGGCTCTTCGGTTTTGAAACGGAAATGAGCACCACCCCCTAGAGTTGGGAATGACTAGCACATATGTGTGACGGGAAGCTTTATCTTTACCTTAAGAGAAAGCAGATACCATAGTATCTTCTCAGCTAGTCTGGCAGGGTAGGTCCACTCTGGATTCCTTCAATTAAACAGTGTCATCTGTTGGGACCTTGAAAATGTACTTTCTATCACTTGCTTTCTGGAATGAGGTTACCCTCAAGATTCAAATAGTCTCCATTCTACTGGTGTTCCACAGACCCTGAAGATGTGCCTCTTTACCCAGGCCTTTGGTGAGGCTGATTTATGCTCCTTTTTTTCTTTTCCTTGTTCCTATCCTGGTTTATTTTCTCTGCCACTTTTGCTTCTTTGGTGTTGTTTTGTTTCACATTCTTTGCTTTATATGTTTTTAACACTTTGTAATCAGGACAGAGGGACGCAATGGTTCAGTGGCTAAGACGCTGAGCTTGTCAATCGAAAGGTCAGCAGATCAGCGGTTTGAATCCCTAGTGCCGCATAACGGGGTGAGCTGCCGTTACTTGTCCCAGCTTCTGCCAACCTAGCAGTTCAAAAGCACATAAAAAATGCAAGTAGAAAAATAGGGACCACCTTTGGTGGGAAGGTAACAGTGTTCTGTGCACCTTTGGCGTTTAGTCATGCCAGCCACATGAGCACAGAGACGTCTTCAGTTAGCGCTGGCTCTTCGGCTTTGAAATAGAAATGAGCACACACACACACACCCCAGAGTTTACCTTTATTCAGGAAAACCTTCAGTATGTTTAGTGCATCTTCTTCAGTGCCCTTCAGATACTGTTCCAATGCCCTTTCTTCTTCTTCAATTGTATTATTTATGGCAGGGGAAGTATTGGTACAATTTGTTACCCTAACTTAGTATTCTTTATTCAAAAATACATTATTAAGAAGCACCCTCCAATAAGGGAAACAATATGATACAGCATAAATAGTTTGAAAAGCAGAATTCCAGCTTGTTTCTTACCTGTGGAGAATATATATTGAGATTTTGGAAGGGGTTTAATGCTATTAAAATATCTCCAACGTAAGTATAAATTTGTAAATCTCCATATCGCTTCTTCAGCTGATAAATAATTGTATCCTGAAAAGATCACATGTTTCACAGTTAAGCAATATTTCTTGGAAATAAGCAATAATTTCCAGTATTATTTCTCACTTCTGTCAAATATTAATTTCACTAAATCAAACCATTGCTTACACAGTTCTTGTATCTTCCTCAAATATAAATTTATAGCCATGCCAAGTAAAAAGCAATATGTCTGTCTAGTAAATTTTGATTATATAGGTCAGAGGAATGAATTGTAGATGTCATTGTTCAAATGTATGTTTGGAATATACACAACAAAAATAATTCTAGTTTGTTTTAATTCTGCCCATGAAGCTAACTTGCTCGTTTCAAGAACAGATTATCTACAATTATATTTATTTATTTATTTATTTATTTATTTATTTATTTATTTATTTATTTATTTATTTATTTATTTCAATCGTAACATTTTACTACAATTCAATTTTAATGAAGACAAAGCAGTTTTTCATGCCAGCCACCACTGAAATCTATTTCCATTTACTGTGGTGTATTTTGACAAAAACTAAGCATTACTTTTCTCAACTAAAATTATAAAAAGAAAAACAATGGACTGAGTTACCAAATGTATTGTTTTTCTATCGCTATGCCTATTTGTTCATTTTTATTAGATACAGGTAGTTCTCGACTGATGACCACAACTGAGCCATATATATAGAGGAAGGTTTAAGCATTGTTCTCTTTCCTTTGGTTTACCAGTTGGTTTCTAAGAGCCAAGTTACTTATGACGGCTGTCAGCAGGAATGTGATTTTAACAGCTGTATGTGCAAGGAGTATGGAAATCTTTCCTTTCTACCCATAATTGCTGCACTGTTTCTTTCTCAGTAGTGGTGCAAAGATATATGTAGCCCCACACACCGGGGGAAAATGACTGAGACATAGAAGCCACCAATTATGTGTAGAAGGCACTCCATTTTTGCTTATTCATGCTGCATTTTCCTTCTTCGACTTCTCCTCACAATTTGTTCCCCAACAAGCTTTCATAATCCCTGAATTTCCAGCAATTGTCCCTATTAGCTGGGAATTCTAAAAGTTGTAATCTCAATAATATCAAGAGGATGCCACCAATGGTGGGTTGCCCCTGGTTCAGATCGGTTCGCAAGAACCAGTAGTAAAATCGGCGGAAGGCCCCGCCTACCACCCCAAATATCGTCATCAGCGATCTGCGCATGCACAGAAGTTTTGTTGCGAACTGGTAGTAAAGGTAAGTAGAATCCACCCCTGGATGCCACATTAGAGAAGATTGGTCTATAAATGAAAGAGAACCATGACCACCTCTGATTTGGCTCATTACTAGTATCTGCTTCACTGCTGCATCAGAATGTTATGTGCAGCAGCTTTTTGGGGTACAGATTATGCCTGTGCGCATTCCAAAGATCATATAATAGTTATGGGAAATTTTAATTTTTATATAAAGCTCATATATATACAGAATCATGCTCCTAAAGAGTGGGAACGACATGACCATAAAAGGAAGATTCAACAATAGAGGAGTTGATCCTCTCTTGCTCTTTTTTGCCATTGTAAAGAGCAGGTTTCAAGTCTGCCATTTACCATTTCTCATCCTTTCATGCCATACATGTTCAGGAATACCTAGTACAGATTGTGTCTCAAGCATGAACTTTGGCATATATGCAGCTCTCAAGTTTCGGGGGAAACTGTAGTCCAGGGGTGTCAAACGCAAGCCCTGTGGGCCACATCTGGCCCATGGTGTGCTTATATCCACGAGGCTGCCTTGGAAACAGTGAAGGACTGGCCTGCAGTGCCTCTACCAGTGAAAACAGAGTCTGGGAGGGCCACGCATGGCCCTCCCGAGCTCCGTTTTGCTGGCAGAGTGCTGGAGGAGGCCGTTACGGTCAAAAACGGAGCCTAGGAGGGCCGTGCACAGCCCTCCCAAGCTCAGTTTTCGCTGGCAGAGGGATGCAGGAGACCATCACAGCCAAAATGGACCCCAGGAGGGCTGCACATGTCCCTCTTGAGCTCCCTTTTCGCTGGCAGAGTGCTGCAGGAGGATCCCCCAGCCCTGCCCGGGCCACCGCAGGTGCCCCTGACACAAGTGATGTTGAGTTGGCCATGCCCACCCTGGCCATGCCCCCCTCAGGTCAAACACAACCTTGATGTGACCCTCAATGAAATAAAGTTTGACATCCCTGCTGTAGACAGTTCTCTGGAGGAAGGGAGATGATCAAGAAGCAGTATGCTAAGGCCAAGAGAAGGAGAAGACAGTAATCATCCTCCTTCAGCCTTAGACTTAAGTTTTGAACTTCCTGAAATGAAAAGGAAGTTCATTGAAAAGAGGGGGCATCTGATTCAAGTTTCTGAGACATAGCAGAGCCAGCTCTAGACATTTTGCCCACCTAGGCAGTCATATTTTGGTGCCCCCTATGATTTGGCTCATCTTTCAATTTTTTCTAAGAATCTCAAAAAGGCACCCTTTTGTTTTGTTTTTTGTTTTCAATTTTTGAGTGTTACGTTTCAGATTTTCAGCCTCGATATGTTTTTTTCCCTTTTCTCTGACACGTTCATCCTTTTTACCCAATAAGTCATTTTAATTACATTAGGACCCACTGTTTTCATATAGCAATAGTTCTTTAAAATTATATTTAACCCTCCAGCAGGCTCATGGAATGCGCTGGAACTTCTTTTTGCTTTTTTATTTGTTTTTCAGAAGTCTTTTCAATTCTGGTACTCTTAAATTTTGGTGTCCCTGGGCTAGTGTCTTGGCCTTAATCTAGAGCATTTTTGCCCTGATGGGTAAAAATAGTCAATTATATAGTCAAATTTTGTCTATAATCTCTCATCAAGGGGAAAAGGGTAATGCCTCTAGGCACATACCTTAACACTATACAATTGCAAATTGACACTACTGTATAGGAATACTGTAATAATTGTCAGAAAGTAATACAGGGTGTGGAATTCTCTCTTCTTACACATAATGGTTAAGGAGAGGCATTTCCCAGAACATAAGTAGAAGCAGCGAGAACAACAAAGCTACTATTCCAAAGGACAGGAAACAGGATCAGGATGCAAAGAAGACTTTTGGGAAATGATATTTGAGATCTCCATCCACAATACAGGCTTAGCTGTATCACTACACATGTATTGATATTTTCAAATGGAAAATGAAGGGGTTTAACCATGTGTTATACTTAAAATTGTGTGCATATGTGTGCTTTGACATACACTATTTAACTTTGATGCTTAGATCCGATCTCCTCATTTTAGCAAACTTAAATAATATTGTCATCTATTCACCTGTTGTCCTGTATATAAACAAAAGTAACTGAATATTTGGAATATAAATGAATATATGATTGGAGATTAGAATAATATGTTACAGAGTGGGTTTTTTAAAATTTTGTCTGAACTTTGAATGATTAACTTGATGACAGGATATATTAATCACAAGAGTAACTTGAAGGCAATTACAATTAGTAAGATCACTATTTGTACTGAGAAAGAATCCATCATCTCATCATATCTTACCTCGTCCAAAACTTCAAGGTTTACCAGATCATCATCTGGAGAATATTTGTCAGAAGCATCAACGTGATATAGTCTGCGAATATGCATTTGTTCATGCCTGTAAAATGGTTGGAGTACCTGTGTGAAAAATATTATTCCTAAAAACAACATATGAAAAAAAAAACCTATAATAATTCAAGTTGCAGCTTGTATTTTCCATATTCTGGGAAATATTTAATGAGGTCATGTCCTCTGGAATATTTTCAGAACTTCACAATACCATAGTTTTACACACACATATACAGAGAGAGAGAGAGAGAGGGAGGGAGGGAGGGAGAGGGGGAGAGGAGGAGAGAGAGGGGGAGGGAGAGGGAGAGAGAGAACAAGTTGTACAGTACCACACGGAAGTCACATTACAATTTGCACAATCTTTTAAAGACATGTATTCCATTGAACCTTTTTAGCAATTCACCCGGTTATTCATCAATTTTCAATCAAAATTAAATGAATAATATATGGATATATTGTGTCCTTCCTAATTATAGCAAATAAAATGTGTACTCTGAAGCACTTGCCAATGATCTTCACATACACAGAACAAAATGATAAAATTTCTCTGTATACTTGATTGTTCATTGAAGATGCAATGTCCTATTTTTTTAATGTTATATACTTAAAAAGTTGTTCCCAAGTAATGCTAGCATATCTGAAAGATGCCTATGCTTTATCACTGATGTATTAGATTACTATACACACAGGGAGCTTATTTTACATAGAATATGCTCCAATATTTGATTCACACCAGTGATCGCCAGTGGTATAACCCAGAATATCATCAACTCAGGCTACAACCAGAACTCAGGCTATCCACCATCATATGTAACACTTTTTTAGTTAGCAAATTCAGAGCAATTCATCTCAAATATAAAAAAAATTGCCAATCTCCACCGCTTTCACTTTATCTCAGTGTGAGTTGATTGATATTCACCTGAAGCCATTATTAGTTTGCTATATCCTTTTTTCCTCATCTTCCCCTCAACTAAATTTTTAGCTTATTTGCTAGAACTACAATAAAATACAATATATTTAACTTGCTACATTGAAATTTCTAAAAACATCACTTTGCATGATGGTTGAAATGGATACTTTCTTTGCTATGATTATATGGACAAAACACTGTATTTGAAAATAGAGATTGACATCTTTTCTTCCAGTGTCCAAAGTGGTGAAAATATTTATACTAGAAATATATTAACATAATAGGTGGCGCAGCATATCCATCAGAAATGCTCAAATGCTTTCTAGACTTGAAACCAATATTATCAAAAAGGATCTAGATTCTACTCAGATACAGCACAACAAACACAATGTTGGCTTACATTTCTCCTTGATCCTCAACAACAATCTACGGATTTCCCCTGAATAGGCTTTCCTGTTTCAAAGTAAATAGTAATCTAGTGATACTGGAGCCAATAAAACAAAAACCAAATACAATAAAACTGTACTAGCAATTTTCAGGGTAGTGAGAACTGTGCCTTGTTCACAAATCTTGTTCCAAACATTTTGTTTCCTATATTAATATTGGGGAGTGAACTTTGCCAGTGAAAGATATTTTATAATTTATTATTTCAGTACGTTTGAGGGATTCCATAATACTCTTAGTAAAAAAGATAGAATCATAGAAAGTATTTAAGAATTTTCATAACATAGATGTTATGAAAAAACTAATAAGAAATGGATTTGATAAAAAGTCATATAAAATCCATTTAAATAATACAATGGATTGTTTGTTGAAAAGAAGTTATAAAATATCAACCCCTGCGAACAAGCAATGTGGGATTTATGTTTTTGTTCAGAATTTTTTTAATTTGATAAAGACCCCAGACACAAAGCTTACATTTGTTTTTGTCCCAATATGGGTTGTTTTGTTATACAAAATGTAAGACTTTTTCCATACTTCTAATTTTAATGCTAATTCTATGCTTATCTATTTCCTACTTATTGTCTTACTACCTATCTTACAGGGGTGAAATCCAGCAGGTTCTGACAGGTTCTGGAGAACTGGTAGTGGAAATTTTGAGTAGTTCAGAGAACCGGCAAATACCACCTCCAGCTGGCCCCAGAGTGGGGTAGGAACGGAGATTTTGCAGTATCCTTTCCCTGGAGTGGGGTGGGAATGGAGATTTTGCAGTATCCTTCCCCTGGAGTGGGGTGGGAATGGAGATTTTGCAGTATCCTTCCCCTACCATTCCCACCAAGCCATGCCCACAGAACCGGTAATTAAAAAAAATTGGATTTCACCACTGCTATCTTAATCTAGGATCTTCCTATTACTGAAAGAACTCTATCTCTATATTCTGTCTCTATATACTTGTCTGCACATTTGTCACTCTACATTTTCCCATCTTCACTGGCCCTTTGAGTCTTTCTTATTTCCTCAAGTCTTAAACTGTTGCAGCCAAACTCAATCCTTGTGTATTTGGAAATCCCAATTTGAAAACAGGTGAATTTATCTTTCTATATTCTTCCAGTAGTCATTATTCTAAAGATTTACTATTCTGAAGATTATCAGAGCTGGCAAACCAATGTAACATAGTTTGGTTCTATGCCACAAATCTAATTGGATAAGATGCTATGCCTGGAGTTATGAAGATCTGGGTAGGAAACACAGGTTCAATGCCAGCAAGTATGATATGGGTTGCAAACATAGCTGTCACACATAGTGATACACACACACAAACACACACACAAACTGAAAAGCCTTTGCTACTGATTGAGGAACAGATGACAGGAAGTGACAGTGACCTAAGTAATTAAAACTACTTCACATTTGCCCAAGTAACATCACTATTGTGAGATCTACACTAATAAATTGGCTTTTAAGTGCAATTCAAGCTGCTGATTGTCCCTTTATAATCCATGCATGGCTCAGGACTACTGTGAGTATTCGTAGGAACATGTTTTCCCAATCCTTTCTTCTTGTACAATGCAATCTAGTAGGGGTACATCCTTTGAGTCCCAACTTTGAAGAACTGTTGTCACCAGGAGTATGAGAGTGTGCTTTTTCAGTGACCACTCCTCCTCTTCAAAAGAAGACTCCACTCAAGATCAGATCAGACCAATCCTGCTGGCCCTGGCTGTTCTGGAGAGACTTTGGGATAGTATGACTGACAGATGGATCTCATCCTTCAATTTGGCTATTGGTCTTATTGTGGTAGTTCTCCCTCAGTGGGAAGACACAGGAGAAGCGTTTATTGTTATTGATTGTTGGGTTATGTTCTTGGGTTATATTCTCCTTATGACATTGGTTTTTATTTTATTCTTTATATTCTTTGTAAGCTGCTTACAGCCTATTTTGGAATAGAGTGGTATATAAATTTCAGAAATAAGCTGAGCTGCAGATGGGTGGGTTTATTTGAATCAAATTGGGTTTTTTGTCCTACATTTTTACCCTGGTACTCCATTTTTTCTACATTGATAGGAACCACTAATAGGAGATAAGAGGCTAGGCTAACTTAGATGTAAGAGAAGCTACTTCAGCAACTGAATTGGTCCTACCTTCTCGTACAAATCTTCTTTACTTTCTACCATATGTCCTGTTTCCAAAACTTTTGAACAGAGTGATCTGAGCTCCTTACAATATCACACTTGTAAAGCTGGACTTATCTGCAACAAATATGTAAACTGTACATTTGCCAAAGTATTTTTGGTAGCCCACAAACTGAAAAGGATCCATTTGCGGTTATGACTTAATTACACAGAATAGAACTATAAGAGCTCATTTGACCTTGGGAAGGTATAAAAGTCAGAGACAAGAAGGGGGGGGGGAATTACCGCTTGAAAATTCATCCTCAGTAAATTTATGGTCTGACTACATTTGAAATAACCAAGAAACATTTTGATGAAGAATTAACATTGTTAGTAATTTGACAGAAATAAAAATATGTACACTTTATTTTCTTTCATCCCTTCAGCCATGGATATTTTTACCCAATTTCATCATTATCAGTCACCTAGGAATCTTTGTATATTAAAAACATACGTATCTATAGCCACTCCATATGTTATATAAACTGTTTGTGTACACTTGAATGCATAATTTATTATACAAACAGAGATTTTTTTTTTATTGGATTTCAGGTTTGTATCTCAGAACTGGCTCACATAGGTTAGAACAGGGGTGTCAAACCCACGCCGTCACAGTAATGTCACATGACATATCGGGACTTTTTCCCCCTTCACTAAACTGGGTGTAGGCGTGGCCAGCACATGATGCATCTGGCCCACAGGCCAGGAGTTTGACACCCTGTGTTAGAAGGTAGTGAAAACCCCAAGACATTTGAAGAGGAAATAGAAAATATTACTAACATTAATAGCAATAGCAATTGCCCTTAGTCTTATATACTGCTTCACAGTGCTTTACAGCCCTCTCTAAGCAATTTACAGAGTCAACATATTGCCTCCAACAATCTGGGTCCTCATTTTACCAACCTCAGAAGGATGGAAAGCTGAGTCGGTCAGGGTATTAAAACAACAACCTTAGTACCCTGTCACTTACTAGCTTAAAACAGAAACATTTTGAAAAGAGTTTGCATTAGCAGGACGCCCATCGAGACTGATTTGGCAGGTGCCCTTGAAATTTTTAACTTAATGCATGGATGGTTTACAATCATTGTGTTCAGACTGAGGGCACCTTATATTCACAGCTAATTGCTGACTTGGCTTTCAATTGAAGTCCTTTTCTGAATAAACAAACAAAATCTCCTACTGCGTTTTCCCCCTTGGGCAGTGGAAAACATCTACTTTACTTCTAAAGATTTTGAGAAACCTGTGAGTCAGACATCAGTAAAGCAGAAAGATCTGATATTTATTTATTTTTAAATTGCGTTATAGAGCAGGTTTCTATATTAATCCATCCTGTAATAAGTCCTTTCAATTTTCATACATTCTGAAATATTGTGTATTTTTCGCAAAACAAATATAATCCTGCCAATTCTAATAAAATAATAACCACCCCCTTTGTTTTTGAACAAATGAATTTTGTCAGAGAACTCAGGTAGGACTACCAACTAAACCCTATCAAATCATTTTCAAGTAAATTATTATAATATTAATATTAATATAATTATTCAAGTATA